TATTTATTTCACCTACTGGGCCCTCCCGCAATGTCTGGGAGCAGCGGGCAGCGCAGGAAAGTGCACCCCACTTCCTTTCCCCTCATAATCGCAGGTTAGGAGAGCTCAGTGAAAAAAAGAAACTAGTACCTTACAAACCTTAAGTCCTGCTACTGGGAACACAGCATGCTAAAGCGATAAGCCTTGTCAATGAAGTCTGCGGTTCCTGGTACAGAGGGGCATTAAAGCAGTGCAAGCTTTTTGGGGCAACCTGGCCCAGAGCAGTTTGGGATTGAAGGCGGTAAGGGCTCTAAATTTTGGAGTAAGATTTTTTTTTCTGAATCAGGGCAACAACTCGACCACCTCTGCATACACATCTTAAGGCGAAGTTAAGCACAGGGAGGGAGCACATCGGACGTGACTACAGACTATGGCAGTCCTAGCTGCTGAAAGCCATCTGGTAATCAGCCATGACAGCAGCGACAGAAATGCAGTCCTGTAGCATCCCAAGGTGGTCCTTGCTGATTGATTGACATTTGTTCAGCCTGTTTCTGCACTGTTTACCATGGTCACTTTTTGTGTCTGCCTGAACTGATGGTGGTAGGTGGGGACGGTGGCCAGGTGAAGCAGAAAGGAAGTGCCACAAAAATCCATTAAAGCTCCTGCACACGGTCCAGCCCGGGGACATCTGACCCAGATTTGGCTCAGTGCAACTCTCTGTAATGAAAGCGGGGCTTCAGAAGGCAAATCATTGCTGTTACCTGAATGGATGACAAATAATCTCCTTCTGCTTTCTTGTCTGGTCAAACCTTATTTACCTCTCTAACCTCCAGATTCTCATTCTATAACCATGGCATGGTGATGATGAAGGCTGCCATTTATCTCTTTTTACTTAGAGCAATGTGGGAGTTTATTTAGCTCAGGCTATTCCAGCCCTTTGGCGTATCGCATCAGGAAGGTCTACGCCCAGACAAAAGGTAAAAGCCCATACATCCTTTATTTGAGCATTTCACAAATAAATTACAAGTTTTTTTGCAACCACGTCATAAATCAAAACGTTTATTTACACCTCAGAAACAGCAAGCAATTCAGCAACTAGGGCCCAAAGGAACGATTAACCGGAAAAGTAGCTGAATTAAGTATCTTTAAAATCAAACAAAATATTTTCCTCCTTGCTTGAACTTTAAAAAAAGAAAGAAAATCATAAAAAAAAAATCTTGGCGGTAACTTAAAGAGAGAGAGTTTGTATGGGGCAAATATGATTTTACAGGTGAGTTCTGTCTGAAATGGCAGTAACAACGCACCTTGTTTGTACCGAATTCACCATCGCAGTCCACCAGACACACTCTTATCCTACAGTCCCAGGCAGGGTGTGCACAGAGTCTGTCTTTAGGCTACGTTCATTTTAACCCCAAGTCATCGAATACAGGCATTGGCTGATGCAGAGGAGGAGTGTAATGTTCAAAGGGTGGATGAAACTTTCCCCAAAAGCTGTCCCACTGAAAGCACAGTAATGCAGAATTCTGGCTATAAACCCTTCCCTTTCCACTACTGGTGACCTGCTGATACATAAACAACTAAAAATGAGTCAGTAAACAATTATACATATCTTCAAATGATACCATTGTGTTAAGAGGGGACAGCTAAAGGTAGCATAAATACAACATGAGAGTTGGGATAAGCGCGGGGTTTAGTGTGTGGGGTTTTTTTTTGCCTTTTTTCTTTTCTTTAAATCAGACTGGTTTGGCACACATAACCCATGCTGTCCCTTAACTCATGTATTCATCCATAATTCATGGAATTAAACTGCTTATTCCAAGTCCTCATGTTGTATTAGTTTCCCTCCGTCTGCATATGTTTTTAATATATATATATATTTATATATGTATGTGTATATCTCTATATATCTACATATATACACACACATAGCAATTGTGCAACTAGTAACTTTCCACTGAGAGTGTACGAGTGTATCCATTTCATTTGGACAAATATAAATCAACTAGCATATCTTGATGTGAGGCAAGAGAACAGTGTAGTCAATGGGTTATGTGTTTTACATAGTAAAATAGTCAGCTATATCTGCCTTAAATAGAATAGTTATAATGATAATTACTAATGTATTTTGCATGTTAATTCTAAAGATTATAGATCACAGAGTTAATTGAAAGAAAATAATTGCTATTTTATTTATTTATCTTTGTGTTAGCATTGGACAGTGTACCTCTCAGACAACAGAGTTTCTAGAGATGCATTAAAGGGAAGATAGGATCAGAGTTTTGCCTTAGACTTGGTGTTCTCAAGTTGATATGACTTTAATATAATTTATCTTGTGGGTTTTTTTTAATTAAATAAGACATTATTAAATGCATTCAGAAAGAAACTTATCCTTTAGACAAACAGTGATGTAAAATAATTTGTGTACAAAATTCTGCTATGTTTCAAGTGGTTGAGTGTATTAGTAGCAATTGAGAAGAAAACTGGCAGCTTTCTCGGTATTTCAGACAGCAGGTCTTTGCAAAGGAAAGACCAATGATGTAAAAGCCATTAATATAACATATGTCCTTCTTTTTGTAGTTATAAAACATTTAGCTAGTGCCCTACAAACTGATTGTAAGTCCATAATTTAATAAAGGAGGTTTGCATTACAGTGATCCCTAAACTTGCATGACTACGCAAGAGACCATGACGAATTATTTGACTACAGGCCACAGCCATTTCAAATAAAGGCTAAACCAAATTATGCTGGGTGCCTTCGAGACATGTTAAAATGGTTGGTGAAGGAAGTGAGTCATCTGCAGCAGGCATCGAAGCTGTAGGTTTTTCTGTATGTCACAAAAGACAGACCTTCGATAATACATAAGCACTCAACGATCCCATGACAAATATTGCTGCTTTACTGTTCACGGCAGACCAGTAAAAGCAATATGTGGGGAGGTTTAGATGAAAAATTTCATCTAAATATGATTAACTGAATCTTAAACAATTCTAGTAATGGAGTTGCTCTTTGATTCACACCAGTGTAAATGTGATGAGAACAGGGCTCAGAAAGTGTATTAGCCAGTGTTCTGCTCCTACCTAATTTTCCTTGATACCCAGTAGAAAATTCAGCTCGTTTCCCTATGTTTTCATCTTCAGACCTACAGTTACTGAACAAAATGTACATTAATAAATGCACATAGGCATATTGTAAAAGCATACACGAGGTGTACAGACAAGGGTTCAATTAGCAAATACACCCCAAATGAGACCTTTGTCTTGCTAATAAACTCCTCTCACTGATTAACTGATATACCCAATTTGCGTTTTAACAGCAGATACTCTTTTCAAGTGAAATGATTTTTCCACAAGAAGTTTTATGCATGTTACAGAATGAAAATCAACAAGTTCACTGCCTTTCTGACTCTAGACAGCATTGTATGTCTACAAACAGACTGAAATAAACATTGTAGTGACCCAAATAGCTAGGTAGAAAAAAGTGCTATGTTATAAAAACAGCAAGCTTGGCTGAACAAATGTTAAACATAATTAACTATAAAAAAAATGACAACCAATTTTGTAACTTCTCTACTTTTTCACGATATTATGGAAAAACTAAGAAATTATTGTCGCTCCTTTGTTTCAGGAAATGGGCGTCATTTTTTGAGCCAGAGCCGACAATCTTATTCAGGTAGGAAAACTCAGATTCTAATATGGTTCCTCACTTGTATAACACTACAGAAAGTGCCACAATCTCTTGTTAAATGGGGTTTGTTCAGGTACAGAGAGGGAGAAACATTAACGTGGCAGCTTCATCTTCTCTTTGCATGCTTAGGTAGTCCAGTGATTAGCTCTGTCTAGAGACACACATAAAGGCTGGCAGGCTTTAATCTAGGTGCAAAAATAAAGTGATAATGGCGAATGAAGGCTTTGATGTACCTTGAGTCAGAGTTTAAGCCATGATACTGACCTCTCTACGTGTCGAAAGGTTGCAGTATTATCCAAGAAGAACAATCTCTTGTCTTCGGGCACAAAGTGGTGGAAAGAGTCTTCCCATTGTTAGTGTAGTTCCAGGCAGAAAAGATTTTTCTTTTTTCCTCATTTTGGATGCCCTTGGAACGATCCACCAGATGCTACGTGAGCCTTGGTTTAAATGAGAAACGGGTAGCTTTATCTGGTAGTTGATAGAAATGACACTAATATCAATGGATGTCTTTCCAGAGGTGGGTTTTGCTGGATAGAGAGAGGGAGAAAGCATGTAGAAAAAGAGTATTTGTGGCGGAGGATATTATAATGTCTTTTATTCAAGATAGAGGTTTTGTAGATCAAAGTTTTCTTTGGGTGCATTTGGATGCATTCATTAAATATACACGTTGAAAATCCAGTGGCATTATGCATTTGTTGATTTTTTCATTTTGAAAAATTTGCCTGAAAACTATATTTTTTTAAAAGACGTGATTGTTGATGATAAAGCAGCAGCATATGATTATTACAAGGCATGGACAGAGAAAGAGAACTAGAAGCATGCCCATGTTAATGTTTGAGATCAGGCACTTTCCTGCTTAAATGCCTGCGGCCGCCTAACAGCCCACTCCTGAAGCCCTTGCTCGACAGAAACTCCCACTAACCTCCAAGTGCCACTTTGGTAATTGAAACACCGAGAGCACGCCACGAGTGAAGCAAGGGCAGTGGGAGGTTTTACTTGGTCAGGACTGCAGGAGTTAAGCTGGAAGAGAAAAATCGGTTCCTGTCTGAAGGCAGCTTGTATCTTATCGAGAAATCTACAACGTTAGGAAAGTTCACAACACAAGCTAATTTTTCCTCTGTCGCTGTTGTTATTATTCCTTTTGATTAAAAAAAAAAAAAAAAAAGACCTGTTTCATTTTTGGTGAAATCTACAACGTTAGGAAAGTTCACAACACAAGCTAATTTTTCCTCTGTCGCTGTTGTTAATTATTCCTTTTGATTAAAAAAAAAAAAAAGAAGACCTGTTTCATATTTGGTACAATACAGGAAGTCAGAGAAAAGCTATTGTACAGCAATTTTTAACCACCAACACACATTTAATATCTAGTGTAGCATTATGGAAAAACTAAATGTATGTTTGGACTTTTTAATGCTTCCAAAAAAGCTTTACTATTGAAACATATACGTGGTGTGGAAGATATGCTCATAATCTCACTGTAGTAAAGACAACATACAGTATGACTCATAAGTACTGTAAAAATGCTAACTAAAGAATGCAGCTGCAAAGTTCTATTGCATAAGGAAGCTTTCTTGTTTAAACTTTAAATAAGCAAGTTTATTAAAATATTCTAAGACACTTACCTTACCCTAGTTACTGGCAAGCTCTAATAAAAGCCACAGTCTGTCACTAGTATACTTTTTGTGTTAATTTTATAAAAATTTGGTGTGAGCTTTGATGGATCATTTACAATTTATTAACAAGATGATCATCTTGATACAGTTAGAAGTTTTTTTAACCTTACATGCTCACAGAATAAAAAAGGATTCATATTCATATATAACGAACACCCTTTTTTCCCATGTCTGCAAACAAGTGTGGTAAGTTTACACACACAAAGAAATGCTCTTGTTACTCTTAACTGGAAACCGTGTGTACATGTGTATGTATGTATATATATATTCAAAACTATATATATGTGTGTGAATATATTTATAGAATAGGGCATCTGTGTTCCTCCTTGCGCTTACGTATGTAATGACAGCTGCATAGAGGCTGAGAGAGAGATCAGTGTTGCTTTTGCTGTTCTAATCAGCTTCTCCTATGCAGACACCTCCCTACTTAACTCTGTCTGCAGAGCTGATGAAAGACTTAAATTTTGTAAACTGCACCAGCAAATAATTGTCTGCAGGAGCGAGCACAAAGGAAGCTGACTTTAGCCCCCTTAAAATCAGGCCCAGCACTCCCATGGCTGTGAACCGTGACCCATGCAGCGCCGGTCGCAGCTGGCTGCTTCCCACTTTCTCACAAATCAGAGCTTCGCAGAACCTCCCAGCCCTGCTCCCACTGAAATGGGGAGCGAAGCGCTCTGTCCCACTGGATCGTAAATTCCATTTGGGGCATAAGGAAAGGCGTTCGGATCAGAAACAAGCCAGGGGGACTTGCATTTCTTGTTTGCTGAACCTGAGGTACAAGAAGTGACACTGCAGAGCCCTGGGCCTGCTTTATTTGGTGTCACAAAGTGGCCGTGGTAGGGGTATGATTGCAATAGGCTCTCTCCTCCTGGCCACACCATAAACAGCAAATACAGTAGGTTTAGCCGTGGTAGAATAGTTGTTACAATTCATCTGTGGCTGTATGATTCTGCTTTGTCCCTTGCACGCTCCAGATGAATATTTTATAAAAGCTAAACCTGTCCTATAACTCTTCTCTCTATATAAATATATATATATACATACACTCATACATATACAAATACTAACCCACAGACAAAATATTTTCTGAACAGTTGAATAGCAACAAGTCAACAGATAGAAAAAAATGGAGTCAATCTGTTTTCTGCTCCCCCAAGGTCCAGTTTAGATGTCATGGTCTTTTAACATTCAGAGAAAATTCGCATAAACCTTGCGTCTTGCAAGAGGAATCCATTAATAAACAGAAGTTAGGGTAGAGGTTGTCAAACACCAATGTATAGTCGGACAGATTAAGTGAGGTTGCAAATTAAACTGAATCTGGAGCAACTGAGGCCTAGTAGTGAAGAACAGTAACTGTAAACTGCAATCTTCAGATCTGACGTTTTCTTTTTTCTCGTTGCCATGGCAACGCGGTAGGACAGCTTCAGATGTCAGGAGTTCTTACAGACCTAAATGATGAGAAATGTGTGTGATTATTACTACGCAGATCACAGTATCTTTTAACTTTTGGGTTTTTTCCCCAGTCCAATTACTGATTGAGTGCATGCATATTTGTCCGTAATTAAATATAAATTATCCAGGTTCAGAAGCAATTATTTGTGAAGACAGAAGTCTCCACGAGGAAACCCCAAAATGTCACCTGGGGCATTCAGAGACCTTTGTAGTGCAATTCAGGAAGAGGTAGTGCGGAGGGCTGAGCACAGATCTCGAGCCAGGACCTGATTCTCCTCATTTGATACCTTGATCATTTATGTTAGCGCAAGAGTGCAAGTAAAATGCCAGTGAGTCACTCCCTTGCATGCACACACACTGACAAGCAAAGAGCAGACAAACACTATCTTTTTAAAAATGACACGATATAAATCTTATGTGGACTAACTTTTTTTTTTTTTTTTTTTAAATAAAGTGAAGGCGGCACAACTTGAATAATTTTACCCTTTCTAGGTGGGCACACTGATAATACAAAGGTGGTAAAGAAATTCAGAAAAAACAGAGATCAGGAGCAAATGCAACATTAGCTGTAGCTAATGGGTCACTTTCCTCCACTTTCACTTGGACACCAGTAAACTGTGGCTTCACAATAAAAACACATAAGAATAGTAAGAATAATATTAGCAAAACACATAGCTAAGTTTGATCTGTCTCCTCTCAAACAAAAACAACTTCTGACCTTACGGTGTTGGTTTACTGGGTGTACTGGTTTTGGTTGGGATGGAGTTAATGTTCTTCACAGTAGCTAGTATGAGGCTGCGTTTTGGATTTGTGATCAAAACAGTGTTGATAACACAGGGGTGTTGTAGTTACTGCTGAGCAGGGCTTACACAGAGTCAGGGCCTTTTCTGCCTCTCACCCCACCCCACCAGCGAGGAGACTGGGGGCGCACGAGAAGCTGGGAGGGGACACAGCTGGGACAGCTGACCCCAACTGGCCAAAGGGCTATTCCATACCGTATGGCATCATGCCCAGTAATAAAAGCTAGGGGAAAGTAATGCCCAGTAATAAAAGCGGAAGAACATTTGGAGTGATGGCATTTTTCTTCCCAAGTCACCGTTACGCGTGATGGAGCCCTGCTTTCCTGGAGATGGCTGAACACCTGCCTGCCGATGGGAAGGAGTGAATGAATTCCTTGTTTTGCTTTGCTTGCGCGTGCAGCTTTTGCTTTGCCTGTTAAACTGTCTTTATCTCGACCCACGAGTTTTCTCACTTTTACCCTTCCGATTCTCTCCCCTGTCCCACCGGCGGGGAGCGAGTGAGTGAGCAGCTGTGTGGTGCTCAGCTGCCTACCAGGGTTAAACCACAACAGTGCCTTGAAGGATTCATGCTCCCTACCCTGGGAGGAGACAACTGCTGTATCAAAACACAAAAATGCAAGTCAAACATACACATCAAAACTCACAAACACTCAGGAGATGTTTGTCTAATATATATTGCATTTGTACATTTAAATGATGCAATATCAATAGTTTTGTCACAACCGCAGACACATGCAGCATAAACAGGAACATAATGGTCATTATTAGATGCTGGCTTGTGCTCTTTACTAATTTTTAATTATCTGCTTTTCTTTTTGGGCAAATCGAGTTTAATTTAATTATTGATAAGGCCATTTTAATTTTTCTGTTTGTTTCTTGCTATTATCTTGGTATTATTTGAATTGACTTCAATATTAAATTCTTCCAGCTAGGGCCCTGTCCAGATGGGCTATGCAGCAAGGCAGGCACCTGGATAGCATGCAACAGCCTGTCCTTTCCCCTGCAGCATGACCTCAGCTCTGTTAAACAAAGGTAAGTAAAGCAAATTAAACAAGCGTAAGAATCCATAGAGGGCCTGATGGATGGGACTCACTGAAGTGAGAAGTATCACTGAGATTTCCAAATCAGATAAAATCTGGAATTGCTTGGCATGCAGATTTTTAGCATGCTGTTTATTAAAGAAAAGGTCTGGCCACAAAATTAGGATCCAGACTTACATATAGGAAATTCATGATCATGACTGTCAAAGTTTGGATATATTTAGATTAGCGATTCCAGCTAGGACTAAATTCTCATAAACAACTTGTTCTCCTGAGGTAGTGAAAAGCAAGAGTTCAAGACTCTGATCTCACAGAATATCTGAAAAATGGCATTTCCAGATTGCAATGAAGCTTAGTATCGTTAAAGGGCATTTGTTCAATCCTGACTCAAAGGAAATAACACTAGCTTTGAATTGGCAAAGCTACTCTGAATCTTTAGGAGATCCCTGAAGGTCTTCCTGCTCAGGACAGGCTCTTATATATGATGAATGAACAGCAGCTGTAGCACTGAATTTCTGTACAATCTATAGGCTGAAACTTCACCAGAGGAATCTATCAGCACAAAATTTATAAATATCACACAAATTCAAGCAGCTAGTGACTGCTTCACCAACAGCTTGTAAACAAAGAGCAATATATGTCGATTCTCCCTGTTACCCCACCTGCCTCTTCAAGCACCACCCCAGCTCTTCTCCCTTTCATCTCAAAGCTCTGCAAGTCCCTGCCTAGACCTTCTTTCTACTGAAATTGCTTCTCAACTTCATCCTTTCTTACCTATCAGCTGCCTTCAACCCACTTAATCACATGCCTGGAAGTCTGATGCTTCCCTTGACTCCTGTGACTCCTCCTATCATTTTACTATGATTTCGCTAATCACTCTTCCAGCATGTTCTTCTGTCTCAGTCCCTCTATCCCAGGTTTCTGGGGAAACCTTTTTTCCCCCCACTTTAATTTCTTCCCCTTCTCTGTGATGCCTTTCATGCACATTCAGCAATCACTTCAGTGCTGACAGTTCAGAGATCTTACTCTCTTTACCTGCTTTTCTATTTAGACTAAAACATCGACCTCTAGCTCTGATACCTTTTCGATGTTTAGCTGACAGCTCTGCACTGCTAAAACTGAGCTCTTAAATCTTTCCCCTAAAACACTTCCTTCTAGTTCTTCCTTTGATTGCTCAGGACAGCACTATCATCCTGCCTCTTATTCAAGCCTAAAACCAGAAACAAACTGGAGAAGGTTTTTGGCATTGAATCTCCTTTCTAGGTCTGTATATTGGGTTATGTCTTAATCTAGAAGATTCTTTTTCACACATCATCCCAAAGGGCTTATTCTAGCCATTCAAACAGCTAACTCTCCTACCCAGGCTCTGCTCAGTTAGCAGTTTTGCAACATCTCTTCACAGCCCTTGACAAATTCAAGCTACTGTGCTCATACCCTGCCAGTCTTGTGCCGTACAGAGCATTTTCCTAGTCTGCCACTTTGACAAAACCTCTGTTAACTCTGACTCCTTCATGGCCTCTTCCCTACTGCACATATTTTCTTGACTTATCCCTACATGACCTGTTTTCCTTCTCATTCATAGCCCATGATGGCAGCTTTCATTGACATGTTTTCAAAGAAACCTGTTTGGGCTTTTTCCCAGGCTTTCCCATGTAACAGGAGGAGCTCCCTGCAAGCATTCATAAAATGCTGTCTCCTTAACATCTGCTTTTGCTGACACATCTACAAAAATCTTGGCATTGGCAAAGGGTGCCAAGACTACTATGAATTCAGCTGAGCCCTTTCACCAGTCTTAACTGAAGCTGTGTTAAAAAAATTATCTTATTCCAAACATTGTTTGGAAGGATAGTATATGTTCCTCTGATAATTAATGATGACTTGACCCTTTTATAAAGCTGGATTGCTAAAGGAGTAGTTTTTGACTTTTAAAATCAGATTCAACATTCAAAATTATAGGCTGTAAAATTTCAGTAGATAATCATCTTTCGTAGTTCCAGTAAGAATATTCGAGATCAAGTCGGTCGTCTTTCTATTGCACACAAAGTTGGTACAAAATTGCTTATGTCCAATAGAGAAGTTAGTCTAACTTTTAGTTTCTGTGGTTAATATAAAAGTCTATATCAGTTACAAATTTACTTTATAAAAATATTCTGATATAGTCATATAAGGTGTTATTGAACAAGTATTCTGGCCAGTAACTCCCTTAATACAAAATCTACAGAAATCAAGAGCAACTAAAGTATTGTGCAGAAAACTCAATGATGAATGTAAGGCGATCTACTGAAATCAATAGAATTGCTCTATTATAAATTCTTCTGGGATCTGATAAGCATCTGGTCCATATTTAAAATCTCGCTGTTCTGCCAGCTGGATTTCCAATGTTCATTATGGTTTTCTGTATAAGAATCATATCAATCATTTTCTTTGCCTTTTTTTTTTTTTTTACTTTATTCTCCTCATAAAGAAGGGCCAAATGACAGTTCCAGAAATACACACACACACTGTCAAATTATTAGGGTCTACTTCTTATTTGAGTCCCACCCCTAAGGAGCTAACCTAAAAACTACTGACTTCTAGTGTTTATCCACTGACTTCAATGGGGTTGTGTTGATGTTTGGACACATTCTTATGTATTTTATAGCATGCACGATTTAAAGTTTGCAGCTGGCAACAGCACATAAAAGATATTAGTATTTAAGGAATACTGTGAGTATAAAATATGCAAATAATGTGTGCAGGGAGCATATTTGCTGATCCATGCTAACTATCTCTTTTAGGAACTTAATGCCCTGGTAAGCCTGTGCCTGGCAGGTTTAGATCTGTACACTAATGATCATTATGCCTAGTAATTATTTTATTTTCTTTGTATTGGCTGTTAAGAACAACACTGTCTCTATAGCTGGTCTCAGCACTCCAGAATTATTACACACCATGTGTTGTTGTAAACGTGATTTCTGTCTACCTACAAGAAGTAATTCGCTGCATACGGCTGCAGGCATGAAAGCCACAAACGTGCTGTGGGCATCGTCGTTCTTACGTGGTCACCCCCCACCTTTCCCTTAAGGTATCGGGGGAATGCACAAGCAGCATAAAGCTAGCATAGCTATATATAACATTTTTCTCCAGAAATCACTCTCACTGAAGTCTCTAATGTGA